AGTCAGGCCACAGGTCTGCTTCACATGGATTTCAACTCCACGGAAGCTAAAACTTGGATGTGCCAAAGCACCCCTCACTGGCCTACCAGAAGCTACCTCTGTATCTTTAAGCAGCTACATTCTTTCCAAAACGCAAGCCAACATCTGCTTAGCCTTGAGAACTTGCAGGGTGCATCCTTTCCCATGTGCTCGACATTCTCTAGGTACAGATAAATAAGCGCTGTTTTTCTGGATGCAAATAAGGACGGGATATTGGAAGAGCTTTCATTTTCCAAATCAGTATTACGAACTATTCTTTGCACCTCAATTTCAATGAACAGTAAAATCTAACAAGAAAAAAAAAACAAAAAAAAACCAACCCCCCCCACACCAAACCATTCTAGCTACGAGCAACTGGAAGATTTTACATTTGCAAAGGTATAAAAACCTGCACTTCCTCTGTGGTAAGGGCAAACTGCAGAGCTACAACACAGCAACAGAGCATGCAAAAAAGGGTACATACATCTCCCTCTAACTTAGACACAGTTCACTGCCCTGCATGATAATTTCGTATCACATATTTAAATTAAATTTACAGCTTTCACCTAAATTGTTCCGAGTCTTAACTAGAATAAATGGAAGTTTTTCAGATCAGAAACTTGACTGAAGTCCAATCTGAGCCACCCTCTCCCGGGCACAGTAGAGGCAGAAGCCATAAGTCACACCACCCAATTTCACCCTAAGCCTCCTGCTGTGCAAGCGCTGGAGACTGAAAAGATATTGTTGCAAGAACAGCATGATTGCTTGCTATGAAAGTGTGAGTTAAGGAATACCAGCACCAGCACCCTCCGGCAGCTGCGGCCCCACAAACAGCTAGGGGACAGCAGGCAGTTTCAGACAGCAGGCAGTTTCAGCTGTGGCAGGAAGGCAAACACACCAAAGGTGACACATCATCCCCCCACATGCAGCACAACTAGGCCAGGTGCCACTAGCATCCTCCCCCTGGTGAATAAGTTAATACTACCTTTTTCCTCACTAGGCCAGAGACAGTGCACAGACAAGAATGCTGATGAAAACCAGAACTCACTGGTACTAGAATTAGTTCTCTTTTGAGAAAAAGGTTTTCCTGGTAAGGGTTCTGTTAACGCTGAAATGCAGCTATTCCCCAGGCTTAAGTAGGCTTAAGTGCATCTTGCCATCGCACCTGGCATTTGCTCAAGCTGGAAGACGTGGTTATTACCCCAATGACACTTCCTGCTTGAAAACTGTTGTAAAAAAATAATAAGTACACTTTGGAGATAAGCCACCTCTTTCCCTGTGCCATTTCATGCTGAGAAGAAAAAGTAAGCCCCATTCATGGCTTTTGCAAAAAGGAAGGCTTGCACTGTGTAATCTGTGCCATTTGCGTTGTTTTCTTCCTGCTTCCAAACTACTGCACCACAGAAACAAGACAATGCCCTCTTGTTCAGGCCTTCTACCAGGTGTCAAAAATAATGCTTATGGCTGCAACACAAAAGGCTCGTCAAGTGTGATAGTGAGCAGTGTGCTTCCGCCTTAGCAACCCATCCTCAAAAACCAGCTCCAGCCTCCTCTCCTGGGGCTTAGCCCAGCAGTCATGGCACTGAAAATCATCTTGTACAGTTAGCAGAGCAAGCCATGGCAAACACCATGCACGTCCCCAGCGACAGCCAGTGGCTGAGGAGCTCAGTGGAGATGGAAATGTAGAGCCCCAGCTCTGAGAGACAGCCTGATCCAGATCCAGTGCTCTGGCAGGTTGGTTTGCTCACAGCATCCAGGAAGTACAGTCAATTCAGAAGCAATTCAAGCTTCAAGGGCTAGATAATACTGGAGCTCCTCAGACTCCTGAATCAACCCTGCAGCAACCTAGCCCACACCCAGAGGGCTAGCCCTCACCCCACCCTGCTTTTAAGCCTCATCCACAACCCGCCTTGCTCATCTCTGTAATTCAGAGAATAAATGCTCAGATGCATTTAGCATCCCAGAAGCCTGCGTCCCTGACAGAAGCTGGCACAACAGCAAGAGACATCTCGGAGCAAGGAGGGGCCCTGCTCAGAAAAAGCACCTGTAAACATACTGAAGAAGCATACTTCAAACAGTGCCATGATAGCAACAGGGCACTTATGGCCAGACTGGAAGTGGCAGGCACTCACAGCTGCTCTCAAATAGCTTTTCGATCTCGCAGAAGCATACAGTTTCTACTCTCCTCCCCAACCTCATCTCAGTGCAAACAAGAAAAAGGACTGGAAACAGCCTGTTACCATGGGTGCCAGAGAACATGAATTGCTTCAGAAAGAGATTCAGATGCTTAAGACACAAATTGCTCAAGACCTAAATTTGTCAATCTGCGGCCCCACTTCTCTGCATGGTGATAACCCAGAGGAGGACTCTACCACACCCCCTCACAGTCAAACTTCCAAAGGAAAGGACCTCATTACAGTGTCACAGCCCACTGGGATGTGACAAACCTCCCAGGCCATGGAGCGGGTTCTGGGTGGAAAAGCCAGACCATGAAATCCTTGCTCCAACAGAAGCCAGCCTTCTGGAACTAGCTGAAAGGAAACACCCCTTCAAGAAGAACATATGGCGCATGTTGCTCGGCTTAGGGACGCTGCTCCCACTTCTTCTTGCCGAGCTCACAAAGCTCACATCAACCAATTCTACCAGCTGCTGCATGCGGGGATCCCCAGGGCCCGTGTTGCAGAGCTAGCATGGAGCAGCATGCTCTACTGGTTGATCACTGCCCTGACCTTTGAGTTTTAGCACAAGTTCACAGGCTTACTGAGCCTCAGCTGGAACACAGCAGCTTGGCAGATAGCGCTCCAGCACCCTGAGCACCCATCTCATCTTACCCTTCAGATGTTACCCTCTCCCTCCCTTCCTTGGACTCCCATCCCTAAGCCACTACACACTGTGCTACCTCTAAATCATCTTTAAACCAGCACTGAGCAGTATCCCACACTCTTGTTATCTCTCAGGAGCCTTGAAACTAAACAGAGGAACTCCAAAAAGGAACACATGCAACACCTCAGAAAAAATCACCCCGGATCCGTCTGCCAGCCCATCTCTCCATGAAACAGAGATTGTTTCAAGCAGTCAGCTTGAAATCAGATATGACCAAAGCATCCTTCCTCTGCACCGATGGCCATGTGTGGTGAATGACTTGTGCCACCTTAACCACCAGCCTCAACACTGGAGCTCCCAGCACTTAGCTCAGAGATGCCCATGAAGACAACTGCCTGTCTGCAGCGATGCTCTGTGGCACTGGTCCACAGTACTCCCGCAGACAGGCTGCCTCTTCATCCCACAGGAATCAAATCCCAATCATCTCTTAAATCATAGCTGCAAAAACAAATGCCAAACTTGCCTGGTAACATAGGCTAGAATAGAAAGGACCATTCTGGGGAGGTAGAAAGGGGGAATACTCTGAACGACATCCAGGTCTTTCAGCTATGCAGCTTGACAACAGTGAAGGAATTCTTGTTGAGAACAAAACGAACAAACACTAATATGTTCACTAGAATCCTTACTGCTCTTTTCCTTCTCAATTTGACAGCACAGAAATGGCACTAGTTAATCAGGTAATCTGCTCAAGTACCAATAGCAGAAGAGGATTCCTTTCACACAGGTAAGTTGTGCAACAATCTTTATTTATCAAGAAGTCTGATTTTTTTTTTTGTTGTATCAAGTTTTGAAGAGAGCACTGTGTAAGTCTCTTCAAATTGTTTTTGACACCATCCCTACTGCAAGGGATTTTCTTATACTCATTTCTGCAGTGAACCAAGGGTGTAAATTTAAGGGTAGCATTTGCACAGGGACTCCTACATGGTTTAACATCACCTTCTCTCCCACCAAAGCCATACCCCAGACCAACATCTCCGTAGCCAAGCTCAGACTGCGTAAATCAACAAAGCTAGGTCAGATTCATGGTTAGCATTAAACTGGTAACAGCTGCTGAAACACATCAACTAAGGATATAACTGATGAAAATGCTTTTGGAGTAGAAAAAGGTTTCCTTCTACTAGCTGAACCAGAAAGGCTTGGATGATTCTCAGAAGCCTATTATAACTGCTTCAAACAGTGGGTGTGCAACCACCAGTTTCATTAGAAATAGCGCATTTGACTTTCTCTCTCTGTTTTAATGGCCCTACGCACAGACAGAATTAAAGCATGACTGAAGCTGCGAAAGCAGTATTAATTGCAGTTGCCTATTACACACCCAGATCGCTTCAGTAACACACGGATGTGCTCTGCCTGACAATGTATTAACAGGCATCCTATGGGAGCCAGGTAATTGCTGTTTATGGCACAGAAATACCGTGTCTGGATGGGAAGTCAGCATCTTTGATGAGTTTGAGTAAAGTTCAAGCTCATTACAACTCTCTGTTTATGTTCCCATTGTGAAGCTTAGCTCCCATCCCTGGCAGCCAGGGTACCACAGTTACACAGCAGTGTCCCTGTGTATGTTTAATGTTCTAAAACTTTACACCTTTGGTGAATTCATCTCAGCACCGCTCCTCCCCAGAAAACTTTTTCACATCATCTCACGTAACTCAGGATTTTGGTATGATTAAGAGAGTTTGTCAGCGCAGCAACAACGCCAGTTCGATACACAGACAAGTTACACGGAGACAGAAGAAAACCAACTCTGCATGATGCAAGTCGGGGGTCCCAGGCCCGGCGTGCGGGGTCCCAGTGCATACTCCCTGCTGCAGTTGGCGTCTGGGGATCTAGCAGTAACGAGCACAGAAGCGGGCTCTGAGCTTTCCTACTTAAGTGTGAAAAGAAGGAGAAAAAGAAGACAAAAAAAAAGGAACAGAAGGAAAAGTGAAAAGAAATAGGAAAACAAAAAGGAAATGGAAATACGGGTGGAAAAAAGAAAGTAAAACAAAGGCGGGAAAGAAAAAAGATAAGAAAAAAAGAAAAGTGAAAAGTAAATGGAAGGGGAAAGTGCCCCGTCTGCGCGCTCCCGCCGCCCCACACGGGCACCCGCCGGCCCTTACCGCACCGCCGACTCCTTCCATCTTCCATCGCCGGCCGCGGCGGGTCGCAGCCGCCCTCCCGCGGGGCCGGGCCGAGCGCGGCCGTGGCGAGCCGAGGCGCGCTGTGCCGTGCCGGGCCGCAGCGGGCCGGGCCGGGCCGCGCCGTGGCGCCCTGCCGGCCCGTGGCGGCGGCGGCGGCGGGGCTGGGCAGCGCGGCGGCGGCAGGCGGGCCCAGCGCGGGGGGCGAGGCGGCAGCGGGACCGGCGGCAGTAGCCGGAGCGGCGGGGCCGGCGGGGCGGGGCTTGGCCCAGGGGCGGGAAAGGGGGAGCGCGGGGGGGGGGGGGGGTCAGAGAGCGGAGAGCACCACGTGCTCCTCGAAAAGGGTTAAAAAAAGAGGAATTATGGCAGGATTAGTAAAGCCACCGAGTGAAAAACACAGCCCGGACAGTGACGGCGCTGCGGACGGACGCAGCCAAAGCCGTGGGGGCACGGACGTGCCGTGCCGTGCCGTGCCGTGCTCTGCTCTGCTCCTCTCCGCTCCTAAATCCCTTCAGTGCGGCTCGCAGCTGCTGCTGCAAAAAACAACCCCACAACAGAACAACAAAACAAAGCGATCTAAAAGGCTTTTCCAGCCCTGGGGCTTTCCTTTGCAGCCTGGCTTCAAAAAGCAAAAGAGCACAGGTGTCGCCAGAGTAACCCCATCCGAACGCCCAAACCTGATCTTTTTTGATTGTGTTGGGGGCTTTCCTCCATAATTCACTGCAACTTCTCCTGTGTCCCCAGGTTCCTGAGCGCACAGTCACATTGTCACGGTCTCTCTAACCAGGAACTCGCCATGTTGTTCATAATAAAAGTGGGGTTTCCCCGTCAGAAAACACCCCGAAATCTCATGGGCCCAGTTACCACAGTTACCTACGCAAGTAGCTGACAGGCCGGAATAATGAAGGATGTTGGTTTCTGTACTTTCAGTATTTGCGTTTTGTTCAGCAGCTGTTGAAAGCTTTATTTCTTTAACCCACCAAAGTTGAGGATAGGCTTTCTGGAGCAATGTGGAGCAAGGACCAGGTCTTTACTAAGCACTTTATGTTTGCTTATTCCCCTGCACTGGAAAACAAAGCTTTGTGTTAGGTGGAAGGCAAGGTTGTTCCTGCTGCCTTGCTGTTATGAAAGACTTTGGACAGTCCCCGTGGTAGAAGTGCATCACCATCCACATCACTGACATTAAGTGTACCACACCCGGACACCTCTGCAGCCCAGGAGAAAGAGTAGTCCTGCCTTGTTTCCCATTGGCCTCCCAGCTCATGGGCAGAGCCATCCTCCCTGCCAGCATAAGACAACCTCAGACTTTTGGCTCACCAGCACCAAACCAAGAAAACAAATTTAGAATATCAATCTCTGGCAGCATGAAGGTAAATCCACTCATAAACCTTGATGCGCCCTGGCCCAGACCTTTCCCTGTTTGGCAGCAAGAAAGGGGTGCCAGCACCATCCCTAGCCTCTTCCAGCTTGTCTGGAGGCTCCATACAGCAGCATCTCCCCATGCTCCTACCAATAGGGCTGTGGCACACAGAGCTCCTGCTTCTCCTCCAAACCTGGACAGCCTCCTTCTCACCACCTCCAGCTTCATCCCAAGCAGTGCTGCTCCTGCTTTCCACCCATGCCACCCTTCAGGATACTGCCTCTGTCATCTGGGTGCCTCAGGCTGGTGTACCCTGCATCTCAGAAGGCATCCCTCTTTTTCCCTACAACTTCCCCTCTCCCCAGGCCTGCTGCTGGCTCCCCCACACAAGCTATGCTCCCACACACATCCCAGGAACAGCACAGGATCTGCCTCCTGCCCTCCAATCCAGCCATTTCTGTCCTCTGAGAACAGAGTTGGATGGAAACCTGGCTTTCTATCGCCCAAAATGGCTGGCATGTGTTGTGAAGAGGTCCTTGTGCATGCACACAGGTCTGCCTTTGCCCTGTGTGCCAGTGCTGAGCCTGGCACCCAAGGGACAGCCTGTCCCTGTGATGCAGCCCATGCCCATGAACATGTGCAATGGAGACAGGGTGGTGTGCTGGAGGGCTTCACCCCTCTCCCAGCCGTGCTGTGGTGCCAAGCACGTTCTGGCCTGGCAGGGTTTGGTCCCATCTGTTCCAGGCACCTCTGAGGCCTGGGCTGCAGATCCCCATCTGTGCCACATCTGAGCTGACTAATGCAGCGGAAAGAAGCCACCCAGCACATGGGTCTCAGAGGAGGTGATGTGCTCTGCGTCCCTCCTCCCAGCACGGGTGAGGTAATGCCACTGTGGGCCAGCAGGCAAAAGCTGGGTTTGAGGAGAAGGCTGGTGCTGCCCCTTGTGAGGGGCCTGGACACCTACGTGGCCGCTGTGCTCCAGTTTGGTTAGTTTTTCCCTATTTGTGTTGAGAAGAATCTGACCATTTTTCTCAAATCTATGCATCTGTCCTGAGTCACCCAGATACTGAGACTGCTGTGCCATACGACTGGGAGAGGAGAGCATTTGCTACCCCTGGGGAGGCCGATCCTGCAAGCCTCTGCCACTCTGGCATCTAGCTGTGAGTTTGCTTCACTGCAAAAGAGTGTCCTGGGGTTTGGCACCATGCGTCCTGAGATTTGCACAAGGGATCTTACACCATCGATCAGAGCTGCACAAGGGCAGTATTAAATCTCAGAGCATAGCTGAGAACAGGCAGTTAGCAAAGAAATGGGGTGGGTGTAGTGTATTTATGAAGCAAGTCTGTATTTTTTGTCCAAACGCTTGGTTTATGTTTACAGTTATATGTATATATATATGTATATATATATTAAAGTCAGCAAAAGCTGACACAAAAACTAGTGTCTTGCTAAGTAGTTACGAGAGGGGCTTGACACATCTATGGAGCACTCCAAATTGCTGAAGAATTTAAGTTCAAGTTTGCGGTATGTATTTTGACACCCCCCAATCTAGAATAAAAATTAATCAATAAAAAAGAAAAGCCAGAGGCAGGCAGCCAGCAGGCTGCCTGTGTGAGGATGGTAAACAGTCAGCTCCAGAGCAATGTCCAGCCTGGTTCAGTGGCTAAGCTGCTGCAAATCCCCCAGCCAAGGGAGGGCAGCAATGGGAGAGGGGAGCCAGCCCCAAGCAGGAAACCCAGCAGTGTCCTGGGCACAGGACTGAGGTTCAGCTAGGCAAACAGGGCACAGGAGACCAGAGGAGACATCAGAAGTTGCTGGCTATGGCAGGTACCAGTATGAAAGCACCGCAAGGGATCGCACAGCTTGGTTAAGGGGCAGTTGTGTGAGAAGTGGCACAGGCAGTTGCTGGGGTCATTTGGAGCTTTACAAGGCCAGTGGTGCTTTGGTTATCCTGTCAACCGGGATTGCCTAGGTCCTGGTATTGAAAATATCAAGTTTGCATATGCCATGCAGCAAAATGGGGACCAAAGGCAAAAAAAAGAGTAGTTATGGAGGATTGCTTGTTTGCAAGGGGTCTTGGGTGGAAAAACGGAGATAAGTGAACAGGAGAATAGGTAAGTTATGGAGTGTCAAGGGGCTGCCAAGGTGTGCCTGTCAAGCAGCGCTTTGATCACCAGAGTGGAAGCAGGGCAGCAAACCAAACTCATTGTTATGACCATACCACATGGATCAGACTTGGCTCCCATCACAGCATGGGGCCACGTGGAGCTTTCTCTCACCACCAGGACAGCACCAGGTGGATGCATGGACCAAGCATCCCAGCACTGCTGTGTCAGTGCCTGTTCCAGGCAGCTGGAACCAACATCTTCCCACCACTTCATAAGACAAACATTAACCATACAGGTCAAACCTTCACAGCTGAAAATACCTCTTTCACCACACCACTCCCTCAGGAAAAAAAAGGAGTATATCGCAGTCAGTGGTCTGTAAATGCATAAACTCTGTAATCTTTTGCCTATAAAGGTACTCTCTTGCTCATTATTCTCCTCTCACAGGGAGATGAGAGGAGTACGGCAAACTCATTTCCAATTTACTTCTCATTCAAAAGGCAGAAAACCACATGTAGGTCACCATCCATGTGCTTGCCAGAAAATGGCTCAGGACATTGCATTTCAAATCAAATCGAGATTCTGTGTTTCCATGAGGGAGAATGCAGCTAGAGATGAAAAACAAAGAAACCAAAAACCCAACCAGAAACATCATTATCAGCAGATGGAAAGACTGGGTTAATAATTTATTGGATTTTCCTTTGTGTGTCTGGATTTTTTTGGACACAGCTGGAAAAACACTTCCCCCCCCCCCCCCCCCCCCCCCCGCCGGTTTTACCCAGAAAAACAGAGTTGCCATCACAACCCATTATTTCTGAAGTGAGGGTGGAAAAGTAGCTGCAACAGCACCAGAGGAACAGCAGATTTGGAGATAAGGTGCAGACTAGAAAAAAACTGGGCACATGTAAAGAGGGTGATCTTTCTCTATTATTTCTTATGGAGAGACAGATAGGACTACTAAAGCATTATAGTAATGCCCAGAGTGACAGGCACAGCAGGGAGTGGGTTAGTGCACACACAGGCTAGTTGGCTGGCATTGCTATGAGGAGGGATATGCTGCCAGCCATGCCAGTATCATCGTTCTTCATATGGCGCTTTCCTCATGGCTTGCCAGGATGGGTTAGCCTCACGCCCAAAGCTCCTGGAATCTTCCCTTTTAGGGGTTAACAGACTCTTACATTGCTCCTTCCCTCACTGACAATCCTCTAGAGTCTTGCCATGCCCCAGGACTCCAGGAAACATAATTTTTCCATATGCTTAATCTCTTGCCTCCAGAGATTTCACATCATTTCACTCCCTACCCCATCTGACAAGTTCCCTGTGAGGAAAGGAAATAACCAACATTCCCTGCATGGGAGCCCTGTAACTGCCCAAAATTAGATCATTTAATGGGATATTTCAGAGGCTTGTTATTCCACCCATCAGACTTCAGGGATCTGTGATTTGACATTTCCCTCCAAAAAAAAACAGAGACTTCAGAGTACAAGTGCCTCCCCAAACCTGCTGAATTTCCCTGCTTTGGCAGGTTCATGGTTACCTCCTGCGTCTCTGCTGTCACATCCTCTCTTAATCTTAACCTTTGTCCTTATCCATCTCTAGCAAATCTCTCTTTGGCAAAGTGCTACAGGACCCTGAAATCA